TTCAATATGCAGCTATCCCCACTCAGCGCGTCTATGTGTCTGGCAAAAACCAATGCATCTGTGAGGTTTCAGTATGCAGCTATCCTCACTCAACACGTCTAGGTGTCTCGCAATCTCCAATACAAACAACCTGTGAGGTTCAATATGTGTCTATCCTCATTCAACGCGTCTATGTGTCCGGCACTCCAACATCACTCAACCCGTGGGGTTCCAGCAGCTATCCCCACGCAACCCGTCTATGTGTCTGGCAATCTCAAACCTCCCCTTTCCGTGGGGTTTCAGTATACAGCTAGGGGGGGGTACTCTTATGTTTTGCATGCCTTCGTGGTAATAACCAAGAGCTAAGAGGGGGGGAGGGGGGGTACGTAAACTGCCCGTCGGTTGTGTTGGTACATCGCGCTTGACATACAGCCACAGCAATGGCCAGCCGCAGCAGTGGCTGTTGCTATTTAGACTGATGACGCAGTATTTTTCCGGCCTGTAGCGTCAAGAGGGCGCGGGCAGCGGGGGTCTATCCACAGCCACTTTCGGGACGCAATTGCTACTGAGACTGATGTTCTGATGATGAAACACCCTCGTGGAAAGATCTCCGACATTCGAACGTGCATTACTACTGCAAGGGGAGAGGGGCAAGGGACGAGCCCTTACAACGTGCAGGCATATACTGTTACAGTAAATCCCGTCTGCGGGATCCCGCCTCTACTCGGGTCAGACAAGAACGTCGTATGTGGTACATACGTACCAGCGTACGTTGACACCTACACTTAAGGAAAAAACGTGGAAGCTAGCTAACATGGGCGTTGCCGGTTTACGCACATGTGCGTCAGTGTAGATCCACGACGTCGGTATCCTATGACGGGTACTGAAACCACCCCTCTTGACCCCTTCACGCGATAGTCAACGCCCTTTTCTCCGCAACGGTGTCGAGGCTGTGAAGGTCGTTAGATAAGCAAGCCTCGGCCATTCTCTCTTGAAGCGACTGAGAGACCCAGCGACGAGCCAATCGCTCGCAACAATCGAGCTTTGACAACGATTTGCCGCAACGGGCGCGGTGATGGTTGGAAGGAGAAGCCATACACGACGCACGATGCACATACCTGGATTGTCTGCCTGATGGGCTGGGCCCCTTGGTTGCCACGCTGAGGGACAGCGTGTCGGCAATAACGCCATCTAGTCCCTTGATGACACGCTTGCCCCCCTGGACCTGTCGACGAGACAATGTGATCAGAGGACGAAGCGAAACGATAGAGAATGCAAGAAACAAGAGAAAATTATATGCCATACAAGAAAAGAAATACGAAATGGGAGAAACGACGTGTAAGACACGAGAGAAACGATAGAAAACACAAAAAACAGGAGAAACGATGTCTCGAAGGGTACGGAGTACGATACCAGACCCTGTACATCTGCTTGGGGAATGGTAGGGGCGGTTAGAGTTGTAATGCTACGTGCATCCAAATATTCCATGCTACCTAATTCCGGACTGCGGCAACAGAACAGCAACGCACTCCAAATTTGTAAGCAGGTCGAGCCCTGCCATGACACCCAACACAACCAACCAAATGCCGTGGACCTTGACCTGTGATACAGTCACCGAGTGGACACAATCTCATTCGTACCTGTTGCGGCGGGAATGATCGGTAGGGGGTGATCGGCATCTGCATCTCGAATTGCTCATCGAGGACACTCTGCCATTCTTTTCGCCCCAGTTCGCACCGACCGCGGTACTCCAGGAAAGTCAGGAGCACCTAATACATACAAACGGACAGAGGAGAGAAAAAAATATATATACCAGGTGCAATGTATCTCTGTCAGTACTCGAGGAAAGTCTGGTGCACTTCTACATGCAGACGGACACGAAAGAGAAAATCAAAAAGAGAAAAACATAACCAGGTTTATATCTTCCTCAGTACTCGAGGTAAGGCAGGGTAACCTGTGCATCATGCGGACACAACAAAGTCAGGAGCAAAAAACACACACATGTATGCTGCTCGGGGCTTCGTGGAAATGCAGATAGCTTCTGCTGACGCCATGAATAAATATTTTATCTATCTTCGGCTCTTTTCTATAAGGTAGAGAGTTTGCTTCTTTGTGTCCTGTAAAGAACGTAGAACAAAAAAAAATCGGACACACCGGCAGCGTAAACAAAATAACAGAGGAACCGCGACTACTGTGATGCTCGGAACAATACACAACAAAGACACTGTGGCCACGCCGCCAGCAAAAAACACAACACGATTGCGCTTCAGTGAGGTGGAGCACCTTTAGTACGCGCGTTTTGTACACACCTCACATTTTTCCGTCTGTCTTTCAACGTTGGGGTTACGTTACCGTATAGACTACAAGATAATGCACCCCTTGGACCGAGTGTCAAAAAGCTCGATATATCAAAAGCAGAAAGTACAGTACTGGGTCTGGTCGCGATTTGGAACCCCGGGTACGGGTCTGCTATCTGATGCACACTGCTGCCTTAGTGCACAACTGGAGCAAGAAACGACGTAAGCACTATTGCTTCTTTTCTTCTTTTTTTGCGTTTCTCGAAGGCATTGCGAAATTCCGGTCCACATCGCTAATGCCAAAAATGCTACTATACTCCACTACAGCGGCACAGCACAAGAGCAGCAGTCAAGAGCCAGAACAACTACCGTGCACAGACCAACGGCAACAACAACAGCTACATTGAGAGCAAATATAACAACAGGAGTATAGACAAGTCCATAGTTCCGCACATTTTAGAGTCGTGCCTCCCCGTCTCCGAGCGAGGTGCGCAGACCACACAAAAATTGTCTACTTGTACTTGCCACAGATGTTGGGGG